TCCCCATAAGACAAACTATAAAGACTTGTCTCTTAGTTTGCCACTTCAGCAAAACAGGTTTTACATACATATGACTTTCAGACATGATCTTACCTACCTTCATTTGCTTCGATAGCATTTTAGAAAGTTGAATAAATCCTGTCAAATTTTCTTCCTCATGTTAGATACGGGACAGAATTAAATTTAACTCTATTTTATGTTTTATTTCTCACTCCAGTCACCCAAGGAGAAAATCAGGTATGACAGGAAGTTGGGGAAGTATTTCTCTGTGTCAGTCTGATCTCACCTACACAGTGTGAACACAGTAGTGCAGTGTGAACTACAACATAGTAGTTTAGCGCCAAGCTTGTATCTATTCAGACTGATCTGTGGCTTCTCTACATTTTGTTCCAAGCATTTTGTTGTTCATTTCATCCTTAATCTTGTTTCTATTTTGAAATTATACTTTAACTCTTTGAATGTAGAGGTTAGAGTGGAAAGACTGTCAGGTTTCAAATCCGGTATCCTCATTATATTTATCACTTTAACACAGTGTACTGCGGTCTACCACAGTTGTCTGTCAGAGTTCAGTAAAATATATACAGAATCACAGATTTTTTTTTAGCTTGTTTTATTTCGGTTTTAATGTAATTAATGATTCTGCTGCCAAATCCCTTCTTTCCTCCTTTGCCAGGCATTTTGGATAGTATTCAGCAATCATCTTTCATCTCCCAATTTTATGGTTCAATAGGTATATGTCTGTGACCTGCAGAGGCAGGGGCACAGGCTTTCTGTTTTGTAAGTCTAGCTGAAGTTTTCTGTGAACTTTCTGTGCAACATTTATTGTACTTTGTGATGTCCTGAAACATGCAGTCCCTAACTAATTGGGATGCTTGCTTTTTTTCAAATTCAGGGTTTTTTTGTTGATTCACAGTATGTTGAACTAATGCAGCACAAACATTTGCCTGTTTTGCAAGGAGTGATCATTGATGAATAGCAAGGGTGTAAAACTGAACTTTAAGGTACAAGTGTGTAGTTGAACATTAATATCAATGGGTCCAAACTGCATACAACAGTGTTTCTATATAACCAGGCTATGCTACCCAGACCTATCTCTTAAGTAGGAAATAATTTCCAAAGATGAAAGAGTTGGCCTGAGACTAAGACAGCAAGAGTTTGATTTCCAGTTCCACTGCTGGCACATGGCTCAGCTTCAGGTAAGACAGCATGCACCTCCATGTGCCTTGGTTAGCTGGCAGGAGAATGAAAAAGGTGAGCTTACCTGCCATGGTACAGCAGCTTCAGAGATGCAGTTGGAAAGCTAAGTAGTTTGTTGAGTTCAGACTGTAGGACTATTTTGTTTAAAGAAATTTCAGAGAAACTGCCTCATCTTGACCTGAAGTCTTCACTCAGATTCCGTCTTTAATAAATATTAGAAATATTGCCTGGGATTAATCAGCAGGTCAATAGTAAATTAGAGAGCTATTTGTTAGATAAATATGAATGCATGAAAATAAGCTATATTTTAAGAATAGATATCTTTTTTAAAGGGAATGCTGTATGGTTTTTTCCTTGTATTACAAACTACTTAGTACTTGAAAAATTTGTTTGACATTTTCACCATTGCTTTCCATATAGTTTGCTGATTTAAGGTATCAGCTAAAAAAAGGAATCCTAAAATCAACAGCCTTTGCACTTGTTTTTTTTCTGTTGTTCAAGTCAGCAAGTGAAAGAGTAATGCATGCTTCCTATTTTGTTCTCTTAGCATTAGCACAGTAGCCAGTGTCTTTCTGCAGCTACAGTCATACAGGAAGTGTTGCAGAGGTATAATGGGGAGCTGAACTTGGCCTGCACTGTGCTTTTATTCTTTTCTCTCACAAAATTGTTAGCACTGTTGTGAAATATTGGTCTTTCCTTTCCAAATACCCCCTTGTTATCCTTGAAATATTAACATTTTTCCTACTAAAAGATGTAATTTGTATTAGACTTCTGTTTGTATCTCTAGCTTTTGCACATCCATGACTCATCCTGACTTTGAATGAATTCAGAGTCACAGCAGACTTTGGAAGGGAGGCTGAAGGCAGTATTTCCTTTCTCTACTTAAGAAGGACTGAAGGAGAAGGGCCCTCTCATGCCAGAGTTTTCACTGCTCAGAAATGCTCCCAAAAAAATGTTCCTTTCTCACCTTCCCAAGGGTTCTGATGCACTAAAGCTCTCCAATAGCTGTGCTGTCTGGAAACAAAGACAATTTTTCCTTCTCAGGCTTTATAGGGACAGGTGTTGAGCTTTGGAAGGATAAAGCAGTCAATGTCCACAGGGATGGGAGAAAATAGGGAATAGGTGTTGGTAATCTGTATTAAATGGTATTAAAATTATTCCTGGGAGATGAGAAGGGAATATTAATGGAACATGTTTTTTTATTGTACTCTGGTTCTCACTTCATATGCATAAAACATTATCCCACAGCTTATGCATCCATACACGTGGGAAACGTATAGGAAATGTCACTTGTGAAATGTGATTGATGCTTGTTCTGCATACACAAATGAGGAATATCCATTACATACGAGTCTCTTAGGTGTTAGTAAAGTTTTATTGCTAAATGTTAAAAAAAGTAATAATTACTTACTAGTAGAACATGTCTGGGGAATAGTGTTTGGGGTTTTCCCCCCATATTATTGATTACTGGCTGCTCCTTTAGCTAATATTTTATATATACATTTTGGAAGAAGTAATAATATATAAGGCAAGTAAAATAGTACTAGGAAGACTATATGGTTTTGCCTGACAATAAAATTTTTAAAGAAAAACAGGCATGAACTAGGAACATTTGCACACTGAAGTCAATTTCAGTTTCTCTGTGTTTAACATCAAACTGACCTTTCTGCTTTCTTCATTTACCCTGTGCAGACTGTTTGCAAATGCAAACAGTAGAACCAAGCTCACAGCATGTCTTTGTCAGTTGTCATGCCTATATGCTGAGCTGTGGAAATGCGTGCAATTATCTTAAAAGACAAGCAAACTACAAAAACTTAGAATACGTTGTCACTGGAACTGCAGACCCTACTGTGGGTGTCACTCACCTTCTGCTGGGGAGCCCTTGCTCTCTGTAGTGGCTATTTCACACAGTGAATCAGCCCCAAAGGGCAGCCTTATCCAGCCCACTCCCTTCCCCACTGTGGATGCAGGCAGGGCTTGCCAACAACAGCTGACACAGCAAAGACCCATGCAGCCACTGCACCAGTGAGAGGCTCGTGTAATTGGAGGTATGTTGAGTGGCAAAAGGCAGACAAGTAAAGACTACAGTAGCCCAGTCCCTAGTGTTAGTTTAGGGATGTGACCAAAGTCAAAAGAAGGTCAGCAAGGGTTCCTAAACAAAGTAATGTGCTCCTCAAGTGTCAGGGATTTGGTTTTGATGATGGTTGGAAATTAAACTGTTCAGCCTTCCTGGGTAGATTAATGAAAATGGTATTTTTATTCTTGTAGTGATAGGCACCTCAGTAAAGTATAGATAAACTTTTAAGGAAAAAATGTATATTTAAATAAAATCTTGATTGCAGCAACTGTAAGTCATCTTACCTCTCTTGTAGCAACAGTACTTGCTCAGTAAATGTTAGTTGAGGATCTCCTCAGGTGGACAGACAAGAACGAAAGGAAGAACAGTAACAAAAATGTCACATTGCAGTGTCTGTTCATTGTGTAATGCAGCCACAAAGGCATCATATTCAAATCCTTATTTGTCTCAGTAAGTAATAAATAATAATCAAACATGGAGATGACAATGAAGAAATATCAGTTGATTGAATTATTCCTTAATCCTAGTACTGTCTTCCATTTTAAATTTGTACTCTTCCTTTTCTTATCCCATTCCTTTTGAACAGTGTTAGTGTGAATGTTCATGTATGTATGTTATGTTTGTTTATATACTACGTTTCCTTCAGAAGGGATTTTGTACACAGTGAAGTCATTCATTACACATACATACTAATATAAACAAAACAGTGTAAAGTTGCAGTATAACAAACAATCAGTACAGATTGCATTTACAGAAACTTAGCCAGACCTTTCATGTATCAGTGAGATGCATGGAAGTGCAGGACTAGCCTGAGCCACAAGCAGTCCAAGTAATATATGCCTTGCCTTGCACAAGGCTTTTCTGGCTCCCCACCTCTGCAATTGGTGTGGATGGGTTGCACCACAGAAAATGCCTAGTTCTTTCTTTTTCCCCAGGAAATATGTAAGGCAACTTAGCTATCCTTCTCAGGATATGCAAGTCTCACAAATCTTTTGCAATTCATCATGAAACTGGCCAAGTGTGCAGCTGGTATGAGGACCACAGGAAATAGTATCTTACAGATGCTCTTCCTCAGCTCAACAGGCAAAGAACTCACTGTGAACCTAAACCTCATCAGTTGTGCTGATGATCAATAGGCATACCCGCACTATGGTTCACAACAGCAGGATTTTTCAGTTGCTGGGTTTGGTTGGTTGTTGCTTGGAGAATTGCCCATTTCTGTGACAAAAAAACCTCTAAAGGCTCAATTTTGTCTCTTTGTTTTTTCAACAGTTTTTTGTGTAACAAAAACTTTGTGTAAACTTTTGTGTAACAAAATCTTCTGATTTTTAATACAAAAAACAAGAGAGGAAGGTGGCCCTGTGGTTTAAATAGGAGGTTTGGAGATGGAGTACTCCTTGAGCTTATGTGAGGTGTGTAACCTCCTTCCCCCACTTTCCTCAACACAAAAATGAGGATGATCAAAAATAATGGGAACCTTAGAAGGCTTGATATAAATATTTCCAAAATGATCTGAGATTTTTCATATGTCTGATTAACTGGTTTTTGGATAACGTTTTTTTCAGCTGATGAGAAGGTATTTGTTACCACAGTATTCCTCTTTTTCATTATGCGGAGAAAATGGGATGGAATCAACTTTCCCCCCTAATTTTGACCACTTCAAAGCATGTAATTTTGCAGCAAGTTCAGTAGTCAGTAGATTTCTTTCATGTCCCTGTTTTTTTAGGTTGTGCTGTGGATGGTCATCCAATCCCAAACATCACCTGGCTTTACTCTGGTGAGCCTCTCAGCCTGCAGCATCGCCTCCTGGCAGCGGGCCAGATTCTTCAGATACTCAATGTCAGTGATGCTCCTGATGGCGAATTCAGCTGCCTTGCTCAGAATGAGGCTGGCTCACTCACACAAAAAACATCCCTGGCTATACAAGGTAACTTTCCTGTTTCAATCCTGCTGCCCTGTGAAGCTCTTCCCATGGACTTCCCTGCACTGCCTTTCTCATCCTGGATTTCTCCTCTGTGAAGCCAGGACTGTCATACACAGCAGGAAATAGAGGGTTTTATGTTTTACTGCCATGGATATAGATTTGCAGGACTATCAGGTACCTTGCAGTGTCTTAGGTTTTACTTTACCAAAATGATGCCTGATATTTCTGACCTGCTGAGCATAAAACACACCTTACTGATTCAACACTTGTTGAGTCTGGACAATTTTCTTGTCCAGAAATTCAAGGCAGAGGTGTCACAGTTTGAACCCCTAAAATTAGAAACCCCTCTGTTAATCTGCTAAAGTCATTGTTGCACAGTCTCTTCTTGCTCGAAAACCCTTCACTTGTAAAAATGCTGCAACTGTTGTATTTACCCTAGAAATAAGCTGAAGGTGATAAAGCCACAGAACAGAGCAGTGCAGATGAGCTGGAACAGAATAGGCAGCTTTCATTGCTCCAACTGTCAGGGATGGAGTAGAGAAGAATTTAACTTTTCCTTAAATTTTGCCATAAAATTTTAAATGTGTTGCAACTCCCCCATTCATCTTCAGGATGGGTGATCTGTATGATCTACCTGGTGAGAAACACACTGTTGTAAAATCACAGAATCTTAGATACTACTGGTAACTGCAGTTAACCACATCTTCACTAAATCACACACCTTTAAAAATATAGATACAATGTCCTGCATCACTAGCATCTGGCTTCACTTAACTGCTCTACCATGTCATTCACTTTTCAGACCTGATGGTTCTACACACAAAAAAAATGGGTTTGTTACACCAAAGACAGTCAGTGGCTTGCATCAGCTGGAAATCTATTCCTTATTTGTTCATTGCCTGGTGCCTTGTAGGCGTAGGTGGCTCCCCTTCACATGAGACAGGGAGTCCAAATATTTCATCCTGGAGAACACCTCTGACTTTATTTTCTAAGGGTCTCCTGCTGGCAGGTTTTGAGTGTTAACTTGTCTCTTACACTTTTTGGCAGAATACCAGTGGTCAGTGGACAAGCTGATGGCTTGTTCAGCTTCCTGTGGCCACAAAGGGGTGCAGCTGCCTCAGCTGAGGTGCTTACTGGATGGGGCTGAAGTCAACATATCCTACTGCAAAGAGAAGCCCAAGCCAGCCCTGCAGCCCATCGCATGCAACAGGAGAGACTGCCCTTCACGGTTCGTCTGTCTCATGTTAAAATGTCATAGATATATGCTTTTAAGATGTGCTTGAAGAGCTCTTTGCACTGGACATCATGCCATTGCAGTCTCTCTGGTGTCTATGTGGAGAAAAGTCATGGCTAAAAGGGAATTTATGAGTGCTTAACCTAGACAGTTGGGAATTCGTGGCAAGATTTGTGAAGACATTGACAGTACATGGTAGAAAGAGAGTGTAGAAAGAGAGATTACTCCTTCAGTAATTAGGTTAGAAAACAACAGAGAGGCTATTTCCTACTCTTTATTAGCAAAGTTCACAGCTGGAATTGTCTGGGGTGATTCCAGTCTCACCCTATGTTGGATGTCAATATCATGCCTGTTCTGAGTTCTATACCTATGGGAGTGTCATCACTCAAGAACTGTAGGGTCATATCCTTTTTGTGTTCCACATGGCCTCATACCAATTTATCCCAAGAATACAACAGACAAGAAGCTAGGTTTAGCAGCTGTTTTGGAGTTTTATTCTGAGTTTCTGTGCTGCCTCAACATCAATATGGGCAGGACTGTAGCTGCAGCTGAGAAGAATTATCTTAGCAGAGTGGAAATGTCTTTTGTAAAATGGGCACATCCCATCAGATCTAGTGGGCATGAAGTGGGGTCAGACTGAGTTCTGCCTCCTTTTGGAGATTGCTAGCTTGTGGTTTCCTTGGTATTGTAGCGCTCTGACCCTGTAATCCCCTGTTTTACAGTTACTGTTAAACACAATGGAGCCAGGACAGCTTGAAAGACTTCTGATTACACTTAAGTCTTCCTCTAATGCTTCCTCCCCATGCAAAACACTCTCCTTCTTTGACACCCTTTGGTGCAAAAAAGAATACATTCTGAATGCCTACCCAGAGAGTCAGTGTAATTTTATACTCCCTCCATGTTAAAAATATCCTACTTCTCTAATTCAGTGGCTCCTTAGCTGAGATGTGTAAACATGCTTTTCCATATTTTTCTGTGTTTTTACTCCCCCACTTCCTTATTTCCACTGTGGACATGGTGTGTTTCAGTACACAAGCACTTAAAAGTAGTCAGGATCTCAGGAGAAATTTAGTACAATTTCTCTCATTCAACAGTGATTTGGGACTTGTATTAAAAAAAGAGAGTCTAAGCTGAGGCAAGGAGAGGTGCTAAGCAACTTGATGAGCAGTAAGCAGCCAGATTTACCACTCCTACTGTGTCTTGGGTATATGGCAAGGTTCTGTTTAATTACCTTTTAAAATATATTCCTATCCCACTTTGCAGGTAAATGTTTTCTGAGTTGCCAGCTGAGTCATAAGAAGGAAACCAAAAGAGATTTCATGAAATATGAAACACGCTCATTAGCAGCAGTTTTCCTTGGTGATGGCAGTAAATTCCGTGGGAATGGTTTATGTCTTTTTATACCTTCCCTGAACTGTAACACAACCCACAATCCTCTCTCAGCTCCTGAGAAACTGCTGAGATGTAAGCTTGGAACTATAAGTTGATTGAAATGCAGAGCAGGGCTTTACGAGGGGCGTGGAAACTTCAGATTCAACCTCACCAAACTGCATGAAAAAAAGTAGCAGTGTTTTTGTTTTCTATCTTGGGAGTGTGTTTGTTTATATATTTGTTTCTCTGACCAGGGGAGTTAATCACCCACAGAAGACTGAGGAATAGCAATAGATGCCTCTCCACAGGACTGGAAAATGCCTATTGCCTATTCTGTAAAGTAATCATAAACGCTGCTGGTGAGGGATGTGATAGGCACTATTTTCCTCCCAATAACACATAAATCCTGCCGAGTATCCTGAAACTTAATGAAGCAAACTGCTGACCTGACCATAAAACTCTTCAGGAAACTAGTAATCAGTCCTATCCCTCCTGTTCCTACCTAACCCCTTCCCAAAACCAACTGTATGTGTGTTTCATTTAATGGTCTGTAAAGAGACAAAATGTGTTGTCCATCTTGGTAAGACTTTGGACCTGGACTATTATTTTCTGTTGTTACAGGCTTTTTACTAGTTAGATGGGATTTTTTAAACGCCAGCACAGAGGGGTTCAGAGCCTCAGCCTCAGCTGGTGAATGCATGGTCTGAGCTCAAGAGGAAAGAAGAAAGGTGTCATTTGTCCCTGGGCTGACTATGCACCAGCCCCATCCCTCAGCAGCCTTCAGGCTTTTTTGGATTGTCCCAGCCATCAGGGGCATAACAGAGCAGGCAGACACCAGCAGGACCCAGCAGGCTTTTGGCTGTTGTCAGCAGCAAGTTCAAAGTTGCCTGTGAGCTATTCCAGCAACTTTATGAAGATAGTTTTCCCTACTGAGAGGTGTAAATGGGCCAGTCATTGCTGGTGTTGTGACTGTAGTCTGTGACCAAGTCCTCCATGGCACGGTGGTGTAAGAGCAACCCTTGTCCCTGGGCTAGAAATATTTACTAAGCCTTTAAAAACAGCCGTAAGGGCTAGAAAATGAAATCTGGGCCCAAACAGCCTTGAGAAAGATAATTTAATGAAAAATGTGCTCTTTTGTCAGCTTTCATCCTCTGAGTAGTTTTCAGTGACTAATATGGGAGCCTTAGGCACTCAGCACCTTCCAGGATCACACCCTAAATGAACCAAGCTATTGTTGTCTTTCTTTGGTCCAATACATAAAGACCAGTTGACACCAATGATCCTGCAGATGATGGCACGTACCTGCTCCCTGACCTGTTCACCTTTCTCTCACAGATGGATGGTAACATCATGGTCTCCTTGCACACGGAGCTGCAGTGGAGGCATCCAGATGCGGCGAGTGACATGTCAGCGCCTGACAGCAAAAGGCAGCTCTGTCCCAATGTCAAATGAGGCTTGTGCCCAGGTGTCCAAGCGCCCTGTGGACACACAGAACTGTAACAGGCAGCCCTGTGTTGAGTGGGTGGCCTCCTCCTGGGGCCAGGTAAGGAACAAGCCAGCACTTCCAGGACAGCCTCACAGTGTGGGCTAGAAAAAAGTGACAGAAAATAAGAGGAGTGATTTTGCACCCTGGTATCTTTAGGGTATGGTCTGAAGGCTTTTGAGGAGACAACTAATTTGCTCAGCTCTTTCAACTCTGTATTTGATGCACTGTATGCTTGGTTCTTTGTAGCTTCCCGCGATCCCTAGAAATGTTGCCTGTGAACAGGATCTTTACTGCAGACCCCTGTATCATCCCCAGCGGAAAGGTCTGCAGCTCTTCTCTATAGTGACAGGTGACACATCTGGGAAATAGCCTTCTCCAAGTCTTAATTCCCCTTACCACCCAGTGAGTGTGTTTCAGTTTTGGCTGGCAGGAGTCAGGACTGATGATTGTGATACGTTTGGGGCAGGGGAGTTGTACAATAACCCAGTTTTGCAAAGTTGCTGATGTTGCCTGAGAACACCAAAAAGTAGGAGCTTTCTTGATTTGCTTCACGACAAAAAGCAGAATGGAGGGAGGGCTAAAAGCATTTTTGGACTACTTCATGGTGTTTTGGAGATCTTCAAATTCTCTCCCTGCAGCGTCATACAATTATCAGAGGTTAAAAAGCTTCACTTCATAAATGCCAAATGTTCCAAGTATTTAGAGTTTAATTGATTTATTGTGGGAATCTGCAGGAGAATTTTGTCTTTGTCTTTCTGTGAGCTATGAGATTTCCTGAAAAGACACTTGTCAATATGTAGGCAATTATAACCTGGAACCAGCCGTTACTATGTGCTTTCTTCCCTTTTCTCTCCACTCCAGCTTGACTGAGCCATATGTGTTGATGAGTCCACTACAGTCCAGACTTAGGGGCAGAAACTCAGATTTGAGCCCAAAGATCTCCAGAGCAGCAATTCATACAGGGGTACAGCATTCCAGGGTGAATGAGAGACAGGGTTAAAACCACAGAAGCCAATTTTGCTAGAGGTTAAAGCCAGACACCAATACTACTTTAACATCACTTTTGGTGAAATAAACATTTTCAAAGTGAAAAAGAAAAAGCAGTTTTACAAAATCAAAGTAGTCATACATCTAATTGAAATGATGAGTCAGGTAAAGGTATAGAAGCAAGGCTTCTTACCATGCAAGAAGAGGCTAAGAAAATAATTACCTAGAGTAGTAACTATCAGTCTTGACATATAGTGAGCTATCATGAAATATTTTACCTCCTTTTCTAATTAGCACATGGTAAGTCAGTTTGAAAACAATGGCAAAAGCTATCTCATTGTGTTAGAGGTTAGACTAATACGATAATTTGTTATTAATAACCACATGCATTCTGTATTTCCTTGGGGTAATATGCACAATACATTGCACTGCATCAGGTTTTTTTACGATGTTGGTAGTAAAAAGTGTCTTCAGCTACTAGAACTCGTTATTGTTCACTACTTGAAAACAACTTCATTTAACTCTTGCCTATGTATTTTGGAAATCTCTCTCATGAAAGGTGATTGAGTTATTGTATTACATTTATGAGTAAAGCGTGGAATTATCCTTTTAAATGAAAGAAGCAAATTTTCACTCCCTGTGGAATTCCAGGTAAGGACTGGATTATCCTTGCAAAAAGCCAATTATATCATCCTTATTTTGTAGATCATTATGGGCTACATTGTTCTCTATGACATCATACTCAGCTGAGACAATCAAAAAGTTCTGAATTAATTTGTTAGACCTAACCTCTGTACATTATAATATAATATTTTTTCTACCTAGCCTAAAAAAAAAAAAAAAAATCAAGTCCTATATGATTCCATACAGCTCAGTCTCCAAGCCAGATGATTGTTATCTAATCACACTTAGGAACATGTCACTAGTTCAGTGGCTCAGTGGATCAATGACATTCTCGGTAGTATCATGGGGTATCAGGTCTCTGTTACCGAGGTGTAGTGACCAACTTTCCCAACTCACAGAGAAAATAAACTGACTACCTACTCTACCCCCACCTCTAGAATTAGTTCCTTTCCTTCATTTAACGTTAGTGGCATTTTGGTCTCCATTATGTAATCCCATAGTGTTTTAAAACTAGTGGCTCAAGCTTGCTGGTTATGAGGACTGCTAGCCCCTGCAGATATTGCAGAAGTGCTCCACATACTCCAGCGAACATTTCCATCCACCTTGCTCAATGAGGGGGTTGACTGGCAGTAACTGGAAACCTGGCAGTCACTGCTTCTCTCTCCTAGCTGTCAGGGAGGGAAGAAATAGCAGCAGGAAGGGAGTGTTATGTGAGAGGTGCATGGTAGTGTGAAAAAGGGCTCCTACTGATGGAGAGGTGGAGGGGTCAGAGGGATTGGTCAGCAACCCTGCCTGGCAAAAATTTCTCCCTCACACTAAGGTCCCTTTCTTCAACCCTCAGTCTGTTCTTGAATATAATTTCCAGATACTTAGAAAAACAAAGTTTCTTAATACTTGACATAATTTTAAAAGAACACAAATACATGCTTCATACGTATAGCTAATTACTATTTAATCAAAGGAGAGGATTAGAAGAGTTAAATAGTAAGCATGTGATTGAAAATCTTGAATAGGTTAGGATTACCTCAGTATTGGAACAGCCTTGCACATCCGCTGTGTTCATCAAGCTTGCTGCTTTTGTTTATTGTCCTGCAATGCTTTTAAATTATTAAATGGAGTGGGATATGTTCTTGGTTCAATGCATTCTTGGTTATTAACTATTTGCCCATAAATTGTGATAGTACAAGCTGCAAAATGTGCAATAAAAGGAATGTATTGAGATTTCCTGTATGGATCATAGGCTCTTGGCTAATGACATGAGAGCATTTTATTTGCCCTAACAGATGTATTTAAGATTGAATTACTGAAGAGGAGAGGTAATGGATCTACAGAACAGATGCAGAAATGCAGTTTTAAAGCTGCTGGTGGAGAGTGAGGTAGGGCAGAACATGACTGCATGCTCAGCCTTCAAAGCCTGCAGAGCTGCAGGATGTGCTCGAAAGCTCAACAGCCACTGCACGGCAGTATGCACTTTATTTCGCCAGCAGTTTTATAAAAGGGGAACACATCCTGCCTTTTGCCTCCCTTAAGTGATTTTTCTGTGTTCACAGTGTAATGGGCCTTGCATTGGACCGCGACTGGCTGTACAGCACAGACAGATATTTTGCCAGACCAAAGATGGGACTTCTGTGTCATCAGATCAATGCAGTGCCTTACCCAGGTAGGACAGAAATCTCTCATCTGAAACCACTACCCTTTGTGGAGATGTTGAATGGACTAGTGATTTAACTGGCAACTTTTGGGTTTCCCCTATGTAACAAAGAGGTCATGCTGCAACCCATACAATTACATGATACAAATCTCACCAGACTTATGCCCAGGCTTCACTATTTGTTCCTATGAGCCCCAGAAAAAAACAATAGTTGGCCAACAACTGGGAAGTCTTCTAGACATGCCAAATCCTGATTGAAGGCTGTGCTCTCTCCTCTTAAGCTGCCAGTCTCCTTCTCTCTTATTTAAACACAAGCTCTAACTGGGGAAAAAAAGGGACTCCACAGCTTTTGTTTTCCTGTAGATAAATGTCACTGTCAATATTGTAAAGGCATATTTACTTTACAATGAGACTTAGGTATGTAAATCATGCCTGATCATGACTGGGATAATTGGCTCTTTGGCTCCCACTCATGTATTTTCATTATCTGTGTGACAAATAGGTGGGAACCAAGTGTGCCTATGCATCTTCTGTAAGACTGTGTTGAAGGGAAAAGGAGGGTTTCAGAGAATCAGTTTTGTTCCCACTGAGTGTAAAGCCATAAAAAAGTTACAAAGCCCTGCTGGGTCTTACTGGTCACCACTTCACTCATTGCATCTTTTCAGTGGACCTCTGGTTTGGCACTTCATGGAGAGGACATGTCAGCCAAATCGCCAAATAGTTCAAATGGTCATTTAGCTCCAGTAGTGCTATACCAATGTGCGCCTGTTGAGGGTCTGGTCCTTGAGTGCGGTTACAAACTGCCTTTCAGTGGAGTTACCCACGCTTGCACCCATTCAATACCTGACCCATACAGTGCTCTGAGTGAACTGCGTTTGGGATACACAAGGCTTGCAGTCCCTGGAGCTTGCATGACACCCAGAGGAGAGTGCATTTGCTCGCTGGGCAGTGTGCTGATGGGTAACCCTCCCTCCTGCCCACAGGCCTTTGAGCACCCAGAACTGCTGGACTGACATCTGTGGCGTGCACTGGAGGGTCAGCCTGTGGACTGTCTGCACGGCTACATGCGGAAACTACGGCTTCCAGTCCCGGCGCGTGGACTGTGTGCATGTCCGCACCAACAAGCCCGTGCTGGAGCATCACTGTTCCTGGAGGCCGCGGCCAGCGAACTGGCAGCGCTGCAACATCACACCCTGTGAAAACAGTACGTTGCTGAGAGGAGGGGAAGCAGTGTGGCACGGGGGGAGGAAAGAAGGCAGAGCCATCTCTTAGAAATGCAGTGTTGGACCTTGCAGATAGGCGTTCTGGGGAACCTCCAGCCTGAACATGTGCAAAATGCAGTGTCCAAAACTCAGCGCCGCAGGGGGAATGGTGCCCATTGCAGTTTGTTGGCCATGGTGTTAGCCCTGGGATTGTGTCCCCTTGCTAATAGTGTGTGAAATGGTTGATGCAGTGTTAACTTTCTGTTAATGGTACAGACAGAAAGAAAAACATGAATCACAGACTGCTGGCTACAGTTACAATACATTACATCTAAATCCCGCATGTAGGTTGATGACAGGAATTCCTGGAGTGGAGGCTGCTTGCTTTCAGGCAACAAGTAATTAATTGGTCCTGCCAAAGACTAGAAAAGTTACAAATATTTAAGAAAACAAAAAAGAACAGGTGATGTACCTTTTTGGAAACAATGCCCCACTATGGCAATGTCTGCTTGGGAAACACCAGGCTGCACATGTTTAAATCACTGTCTTTTCATTTGCCCTGGCTCCCACTTCATATGCTGATTTTGATGGGCAGATCCCATCCTCTAGCATGCAAGCCAGTTGCTGTGCAATCATCACAGAAACTGCAGCAGAGTCTGCCTGTACTTGCCTACAGTCGTACCAGTTCTGACACAGCCTCTCAACAGAGGCAAAGCGGACTCCATAGATCCAAACCCATGAACTGAGTTTGGGGTGCCCTAATGGAAGTGGAAGGGCAGAGGGAAGCTTACAGGTACCAAGCAAGACCTTTGCTGTCCCTCCAGCCTCTTCCTGCTATATAGAAATGGCCCACATCTAGACAACAGTGGACTTATTTGACACAGACATTACTGGAGAGGGCTGTAAAACTGCTGTGTGATGATCCTCTTTCCAGCCTTAGTATGGGAAGTGGGAGTCCCTCAGGCAATAACACACCCAAGGTCTTGCAGGGATACTGGACAGTTTTCCAATCTGGAGCTCAAAAGCAGGAGGCTGTGGGCCTTAAAAACTGTCCAAATTACACCAGGGCCTAAGTCCTAGGGGAGGTAACACAATAAAAGTGTCTTAACATCTTAATCCTAGGCTGTGTTCTGCAACACACAAACACAACACTCGGTCAGCTGGGGTGGCACTCCCACACACTGTCTCTTCAAATGCAAAAGGTTGGCCAAAGTATCTTTGAGCTGCTCTGTTAAAATAATTTTCCAGTTTTATTTACTACTTCATCTTTGTTTAACAACTGTTATGAAACTCCTAGAGGCTCCCTAAAGTTCTGGTAGATGACAAACTGACAGTGTGTTGGAGCAGCCTCAGAAGCCCTCTCCCCAGGCTCTGAAAGCAAAGGCTGCCCACCAGTTCTCCTCTGAGACTTTGGCTGCTTGAAATCCCTGCTCAGTCTCTGCAGCAAGTCAAGCATATGCTCATAGTGAGACCTCCCAACACAAAGCTGTCTTGGTCTCCTTCTCGGCCACCCCATGAAATGTTCTCCAGTAAGATATCCTTCTTGCATTGCTTCATCACCATTTCTCCTTGTTTCCCCTTTGGCAGTGGAGTGCAGAGACACTACAAGGTACTGTGAGAAAGTGAAGCAGCTCAAACTCTGCCAGCTCACCCAGTTCAAGTCACGTTGCTGTGGGACTTGTGGAAAAGCTTGAAGACAAAAGCAATGAAAATGGAGGAACAAGGGGATCACAGCCATTGCTTCACTGAGGCAAGGACTTTTACAGAAAATATAAATGGAATGGAATTCTTTTTTTTCATTTTATTTATTTATTTCCCTTTTAAAAAAAAAAGAAAACCTTTTACCAAATCATTATTGTAAAGGGACTTGACAAGTTTTCCCTTCTATGAACCTGGGAGACAGAATGCAGAAAAACACGCTCATGAGGGTAGACCACAAAGAGTCAGTGAGCCCCACACCACCAGCAATGGGCCTGAGAGGAGTGGGGCTGCCCCATAATCCATGTACAAGTCTGGGGGTACACCAACAGATAGATGGGGAAGCAGATCAGAGTAAAAACCTAGCTTCACATTGGACCACCACAATGTGAAACAAATAATCAAACAGCTTGACAGGTCATGGGGTACTGGAGAAAACCAAAAAAGGCTAAACTAAACATTCAGTTATGCAGTATACAGATACTTCATCTGTCTTAGACTACTTTGAGAATATAAGCATATGATTTGGCTTTATAAACCTATTTGTTACATCCAAGATTGGATTCCCTTTTTTTCTTTCTAAACCGCTCTCTCTTTCTCACACCAGGCCTTCAAATTATTTCAGTGGGAGATCCTCATGATCTTTGAGGATCTGGTGTCTGGGGAAGTTGAACGATAGGGTGTAATGTGAATGAGTCTAAAATACGCGACAATGCTCGCAGGCTGTCCTTGTGAGGGAGGATTGGGGATAGGAGGGTTGCCCTCAGCACAGAGGTGAGGTGATGATTTTAATTATTATCCCGGCAAAGGAGAGAAAGTATGATCTGCTTTTGACAGACTGTAGTACAAACCTGTAAATGCTGTCCTGTAGAGAGCACAGGCAGGAAAGATAGCAATTGTCTGTGGTAACAGAAGCTACTTCACATACTCCATCCTACTAACACGTATTTGGAAAAGAGAGGAGTACCAGTTCCCAGAGTTCAGGTGCTTTCATACCTGAGGTTTTGGAAAGGAACTTGAGAAAGTGGGTTTTCCTATCCTGCTAATGTGAAATTTTTCTCTCCTGGCAGCCAAGCCTTTCGGACAAGCAGTAGAAAAAAGCTGTATTCTGATTTCTTGTGGTTATTCCTACTCAGTAGAAACAGAATTGTTTCAGCATCAGCCCCAGAGGACTAATGCCAATAAACAAACGTTAACAAACGTGCTCCTCTCCAGCTGCCTCCCACAATAAAACAGGCGGAATAAAGCAGCACATTTTTAAGCCCATGTATAACACTCTGAAGATACAATCTAAAAAGTGAGGCTCAAACATCACACCCACAGCATGGCTTTGCATGCTGTCTATGAGCCCTTCCCCCTGGCCAGCTGCAGTGGTTATTCAGCAAGTGAAGTGCTTCATCCTTTTAGTTCCTGGGTACTCTCTGCTCTGCTTAGAATATGGCCTTAAAATTAAGAGGAAATCTGCAAAGTAGGGGGTTTGAGCACTGTGAAACTTTAAAGTAGAGTTATCTGGAACTGAGGCTTTGGTTCGAGACCACCTCTAAATTAAAGGTTTGGCTGTGCCTCTCCTGTCACGCCCAGTGGGGCTCATGCCCTGTGGTACATTAATGAAATGCTGTTCAAGGACTGCTGTGTTACAGCTTCCATGACACGTGGATTTTTCAGCAAAACTGGGAGTCCACTTTTGAGGTCAGTGCCAGGTTCATGACATTAAACTGTCTCAAGCTGGGTTACTTAAAAGCACATCTGGCAGTGAACGCTTTTACTACAAATGGGTCTTCAAGAAATAGTGTTGCTAAGCATCAGTGTAACTTTTTATTTAAAAAAAGAAGAATGTCTTTCTATGTATGTAAATGTATATCTTTTCTGTATATTTATTAGGATTTCTTGTACAAAAAGTGCAATATTAATAATTGTACATTATTTTGTCCAGATAAAACTATTTTCGGTTTTTTTAAATCTCCCCAGAATTTTGTTCCTCTAAAATCAACAGCAATAGTGTATTTCTCTTAATTTTAATAGCAGTTGCATTTAATTGGGGATCTGCTTCACTGTGCACAGAGTGCTTTATAAACTATGACATGAGGGAGGGATGGTGTTTTTAATTTGTGAAATGATAATTATGCATGGAATGAAGGACAATTCTTTAACAACAATAATAATAACGATGATCATGATGATGATGACGATGTGGTGGATGTTTCTAGTACAGTAGTTAACAAAAAGCAGTATGGAGAAGTATTGTAATTTGTTTAATAGCAAAACATATTCAGATGATCCCATGTTGAATAGTAGCTGTGTAACTACATAGGATAAACAGGAAGGATCAGATCTGGAGGGGCCACTGTGTTGTCTCTATACAGTGTGGATTTAATTTCACATGTCTGTCCTCTGAATTGTGACTTGGCAGCATCTCAGTTAAGATAAGGATTGCTGGATATTTATGAAAGGACGCTTTCCTTCTCTAAAAAGAAAACAAAACAGAAAACTTGTATTTATATAACTTTTTGTACAAGTAATGCAGGTTACTTATTTATCTACTGCTGTCTGACGTGTTGTTTATTAACCTTAAAAACAAAAGCCAAACAATGTAGCAAAGCTGTTGGAGTACTCTGTCCTTATTCTGTATTATAAAAGCACACAGCTGTTACACAAAGTACACATGATCTACCTGCCTTGGGGAAAGAGGATGTCTTAACTAGATTTTAAAAATCTCCATCCATTAAAATTCTGCACCCTGTCTTGGAGATCTCTTTTAATTCTTCATTTGCCTTGCTTTATTCTTTTTTTGCTAATGTCTTGCCTCTATTGCTCTTTCAGAAGTATAAAGCAATCACTGCTGGTCCAAGATCATGGAAATCAGTAAATGTATACCCCTTTTTTTTCTATGCAGCAATGCTTAAAGACATCTTGTGACTTTCCTCAGCAACCTATGGCATGAAGCAACCCCTATTACTTCAGTCTTTTGTTGTAGGTTGCTGCTGCCTTCAGTAATGGAGTTTGCAACTCCTTGAAGCATCAAGTGTAAATGTAGAAAGAATCCTGGTAATGATCAGAATTATAGGGGGGGGAAGAAGAAAAAAAAATTAATAAAGCAAAAGCATTTTCTCTTAAAACAGACAAAATCAAGTTTTGAAAACTAAGCTGGTTCTGCTGTTGCCCTTTTCCAACAAATGGTACAATGTTTCTTCTAAAAGGGAGCTGTGATTTTACTCTTATTTACTGACAATTTCCCTAGTATGATGTTCCTGCATACGCTTTTTAGACAGCTAAACTGCAGGTAAATAATACCTCACACATACATAAACACACACAGAGATGCAAGCCTAAGACCAGACCTAAGACTTGCAAGCAACCGTACTGAAGACAATGGGAATTCAGTCATTAATTTTGAGTAAAACAAGTATAGATGCTGGTGTTGATGTAAAATGAACAGCAGGCCAGCTTAGGTTCTCAAGAGAATAATTATTCTCTTTTTATGCATATGGCTCTAGTTAACAGTCAAGTCAAAAAGCCTTCAAAACCTTCAAAGCAAGCTTCCAGTTTTGTTCTCCCTACTAATTTTCCTCAAGGAAGAAAAACAGTTCTGCAACAAGCAGAAAAATGCAGTGCTGAAAGGTTCCCCACAGGAGACATACTCCTGCCCCCTGTTATGTGGCAAGGTTAGCATAGCTAAACTACTCCAGGCATGTATGTCTGCATACACGCTCTAAAAACCATAGAAGCCATAGGCAGAGTTTTCCAAAGTCACCTTTAGCTGGAAATGTTTTTCCTGGCCATAGTCATATGGACTGCAATTGAAGATTTTTTCCTTTTTAAGTTATGATCCTTTTTGAAAGTTCCCCTATCAGACAAAAATGTAATGATCACCTTACTATCTGTTTGGTGTCCAAACACTGGTTCATAAATAAATTTGATTATTCTATATCAGCATAAGCTGACACCTGTATTTGTAGAAAAAGGTGAACCAAATGCTTACTCTCGGCCAGATTTTCAGGATCACAGAAGTCCTCATAAGTTCTTAATGGCAGGTGCCAGCGAGTCACTGATCATTTCAGCTAGTTATTGGATGAATTAATCTCATTCATTCAATTACCTAATTTTTAACACAGAAGCTTTCAAACTGTTTTGAATGTCATATTTTCTCACAGGCTAGCGGCGTACACAGATAGGAAGCTCAGAACTACTAGTGCTAACAATGGCTCTGCACATCAGCTGCAGTTTGGGAATCATCGGTTTAACCATTCCCTTTATCCTCTTGTTTAAAGGTGTATTTATATTTAATATTGTTATGTATTAACTGTCACACTCACCTTTTATTTGTGGAAACTAAACCAAAGAACGTGTCAAATACTTTAGCTTGCAAAAAAATGAGGGAATGGAGAGTCAGACATTCTTTTTCTACTGAACTTACACATTTCTCACACTAAAAGCATGTTGGTTAATCACCACTTTCACCTACGTTGCTCTTCATCATCTTCACCCAACACATCCCCTCCAGTCAATAAGAATCAAATATAAAGCCTGGTCATGGTCATTTATATCAAATTTTGATATAAAGTTCTCACTAAGGCATTTCAATAATATGCAACCCAACAGGTTATTTATCCAGATTTATAAGGGGAAAAGCCATGTCTCAGCATCTCCTCTTCTGATTACAATACTTATTTCTATCCTTCCCTGTCTTTTCAGTGAGATACAATTTAGTTGCTCGCATTCTCAACTTCACATGTGAAGACATGAACACAACAATACATTTTATTCTCCATCTGTCCCTCTGAGAAGTAAATGTGGTGCTCAGCCTCATCTTTCATTCAGTGATCACTGATGAAGATTGAGACTAGAAAGTCCATGAAATCACAGACTCCAGTCCTTCTTTTTTGCCAGAATCGTTACAAAACCTGGAACAGCCTCTACTGAGACATCCAATGCATTTTGCATGGCTGAGGCAGCAAGGCTGAAAGTATACAAGTGCCTTAGCATTAGAGAAGTATCACAGCAGGGTTCATCTGGAAGAATTTTTTTCAAATTAAAAAAGAGAAACTGGCAAAATAGAGCACAAAGTAGCTCATCAAATGTATTTAAAACAGGATCATCAATAGTGGCTTCTCATTGATCTGAGTTTGT